CTCAGGTTCAAAACGCAGAGTTCATCTCTGTGTTCCAACTCTGCGTCTTAGGTCCAAAACGCAGAGTTCATCTCTGTGTTCCAACTCTGCGTCTCAGGTCCAAAACGCAGAGTTCATTTCTGCGTCCCAACTCTGCGTTTCAGATTTACAATGCATCGTGGCCTGTGCGTTCAGCCACCCAACATAGGCCCAACTCTGCATTTTTAGTCTAAAACGCAGAGTTCGGGCCCAGAACACCATTTTCGGCGTTTGACTTGTTCAAACACGAACCGAACAGTTCCAGGAACCGTTTCCCCCCATGATTTGAGGGATTTCCGCCCCACTTAGGAGCAGATTAAGGGGGTAGTTACCACCCTTAATCCCCTATAAATACCAGAAACTCAATTGAGTTAAGGGATCAGCTTTTTGCATCAAAAACAGATCGCAAAAGGAGAGATCGGTAACCTCTTGAGCAGATCATCTTCGGATCTTGGAGATTTCTCGGATCTGGAGATCAAAAAAAGGGGGGTCTTCGCTCAATCTCTGGAGCATTCCTTGGACCTTTCATCCTTGGCTTATTAACTAATTTTCGGTTCAAATCAACTCTATTACAGAGTTTAAACTCGTTCTGAGTTTCTAAACTCAATCTGAGTTATCAACTCGTCCAGAGTTTCAAACTTGCTTTGTGAGTTCTCCACAGCGTCAAATCGTGAGGAGGAGATATCATTCCGGTGAATCAAGACGTGCGGATCGTCAATGGAGAGCAAACTCGACGCGAGCATTCGAGGGAGGCACTCCATCGCTACCGTGAAGAACCCAGAATTAAACAAAGGGGAGAATCCAGATCATTCTCCTCTCTTTTGTAATCAGGAAATCCAATTGTAATCGAGATTGAGAGAGTTGTAATCATTCTTTTTCTAAGCAGTTAGAGAGAATAAATCAAATACGATTCTTTCATTATTTCTTTTATTACAAATTTTTCCACAAACAGTCGGTTGTTAAGGTTACAACTCGGTTGTTAATGTTACAACTCGGTTGTTAAGGTTACGGGTCGTTGTTAAGGTTATGGGTCGGTTGTTGTTGGTTGTGAACCTCGATAACCTCGATAACCTTAACAACCGACCCGTAACTTTAACAACTGATCCGTCACCTTAACAATCAACCCTTAACCTTAATAACCGACCCGTAACCTTAACTACCAACCCGTAACCTTAACAATCAACCATTAACCTTAACAACCGACTCATAACATTTACTACCAATCCGTAACCTTAACAACTAACCCGTAACATTAACAACCAACACATAACCTTCACAACGCGTAACCTTAACAAACGACTCTAACCTTAATAACTGACCCGTAACCTTAACAACTAACCCTTAACCTTAACAACCGACCCCTAACCTTAATAACCAATGCGTAACACCTTCATAACCGACGCGTATCCTTCACAACCAATCCGTAACCTTCAAAACCAACATGTAACCTCCATTCACCACTAAGTCATAAGCTTAACAACAAATTTATTACCGTGAAATAACTATAATATATAAATTTACATATTCTATTTTAATCTCAAGTTACCGAGGTTTTCACAACCAACACGTAACCTTAACAACCGACCCGTAACCTTAACAACCAATCCTTAATCTTAACAACCGATCCGTAACCTTAATAACCAAACCGTAACACCTTCACAACCAAAGCGAATCCTTCACAACCAACACATAATCTTCACAACCAATATGTATCCTTCACAACAAACCCGTAATACATTCACAACCAACGCGTATCCTTCACAACTAACTCGTAACCTTCAAAACCAACATGCAACCTCCCTTCACCACCAACTCATAAGCTTAACAATAAATTTATTACCGTGAAATATCAATAATATATAATTTACATACTCTATTTTAATTTCAAGTCATCGATTTCCTTATAAGTATTCCGCCGATGGACGAACGCCGTTTCTTTCCGACGATGACACTTTCCCGCAGTTTCCTTACAAATATTCCGTCGAAAAATACTAGTTTTCTCATGACCTTTTCTTCGCCTCATGAACAAACGACGAAAAAGTATTACCGCCGATGTTGACGCCATCGGAAAAATTTGGAGGGAACTAGAATTTTCCTCCCCAAAACCCATTTTAAATCATCACAGTAACATCATGAATAAGAGAGAGAGAGAGAGAGAGAGAGAGAGAGAGAGAGAGAGAGAGAGAGAAAAAGTATTATAGTCTTCACATATTTTAAATTATTGGGTTCTGTGTTTTGGGGCTCAGGGAATTATGTGTTTGCTTTTGAGGGCCTGTTTGTTTCGAAAAAAAAGACCGAAAGTGGGGAAAAGTGGGGGAAAAGAAAACATTTTAAGGTGAATTTTGATGTTTTCCTCCACTTTCAGAGATTTGGTTCGTCAAAGCTATAACCGAAAGTGGGGGAGAAAATGAGTTGTCACCATATTATTGGTTGATGTGAGTAATTTTTGATGTTTTCCTCCACTTTCTTTGTTTAGGTTCTTTTCTTGTGTTTGGTTCATTCTTAAAAGTGGGAGAAAATAGATGAGATGAGATGAGTTGTCATTATATTATTGGATGAAGTGACCCATACTTAGGAAAATCAATTTCCTTATTTTTTTGGAGGAAAGAGATGGAAGAAAATTTTAATGAGATGTGATGAGTTGTCACCATATTATTGGATGATGTGAGTAATTTTTAAAGATGATAGAAAATAAAGAAAAGTGGGGGAAAGTGAGTTAGATGAGTTGATTGATGTGAGAAAAGTGGGGGAAAGTGAGTTAGATGAGTTGATTGATGTGACTCATTTCTTGTGTTTTGTTTATTTTTTAAAGTATGAAATGAGATGTGATGGGATGAGTTGTCACAATATTATTGAAGGAAAATGGAGAAAGTGAAGGAAAGTGAGTTTTGGAAAGTGGGGGAAAGTAAAAAAGTAAAGGAAAGTGGATTTTGGATTCTGGGGGAAACGAAACAAACAAACCCTGAGAGTTTTGGGAGTGTTGAAAAAATCTTAGGAGAAGTTGCAACAATTGTAATGAAATTGAGGGCTAGAAGCAATTTCCCCTTTTCTAAATCATTAGCCAGACCATCTCCAAAATCGAGGGTTAGGTTTTTTTTTAATCTCGTGTCCGATTTCAATGGAGAAAGCCTTGTCGTCTACTCGAGTTCCCATCGGACGTACTTCTCCCGTGTAATTCTCTTCTTCGTCTTCGATCTACCAAAACTCATTTCCGCTAGGGTTTCGGACTAATGGCAGCTCTTCTCGTCTCTTTGGACCTCTTAGGGTTTCGTTGAGTAACTCCGAAGGAGTTGCCACCAAAGAGGTAAAAGCTCTTCATTCTCGATTTTCGTTTTCCTCTGTTGTTTTGTATTGGCCATTTCAGCAAACAGGACAACTTCATGGTTAAATAGATGATGGAACTTCGCATTACATCTGCAGAAAAAAAACACCTTTTTAAAGCAAACCCAAGAAAATATAAGATGTCTTTTTAAATTTGAGTTCCTCACTTGAATGTCAAATATGTGCGAATTTCCTTGCCGACATGTATGACTCCAGGTTAACTTTTTCAATGAAATTGAGAAAAAACGGTGTTGGTACTTTTAGGATCAAAACATCTTTTTACTGTGAGCCTAACCTTTAACTCTAGCGCAAGATTGCAGTTTTGGTTTCGATGGAGTGTATCATTAGAATTTGGGGCTAGTACAGTCATTGTCATTCCTTTTGTTCTATAACTATTATTATTTTTTTGTCTTTGTTGTTTACTGCTGCGAATTTCAACACACTCCACTAGTAATTGGCCAACTGTTGGGAAGCAAATCCAAGCAAGAATGTACGAGAAAAAGATTATGATAGGATTAAATTCCGAAAATATATGAATGAAAAATGTCCATTTCCTTGAAAGCCTGCTTGACTGCAAAGAATCATTTCTTTTATGCTAGGAAAGTTTTGATAAGGTTAAATTCTTTAGGTGCAGATTATTTAGTTTCAAAGTATAAAATTTTAAAGCTTGTTCAATTATATCTTGAAAAGAGTGCTAAGAAGGAACATCCTAGTGCAAATTGTTAAGGTACTTGCATTAGGTTTGTCTAGAATTCGTGATCTCATGGTTAGCATGCAGTACCTATGCTAAAATTTCCCATGATTATTGAAGAAATATTTGGATAAAGTATGCAGTTAAAAGTTTAAATATGGTTATAATTGGGCATCCTTGTTCTTTGTGTAGAGCTAACATAATTGCACTTTTCTATCATTGGATGCTTTGATGGATTCCTTACAGGTACTTACCCCCGATTGCTCATGAACTATTGTTTCCCTCTTATCCAACCAGGTTTCAGTTGGTATTTGGATAATTGAATAATGGGTAAACTTGTAGGGATCAGTCTTAAAATTTGATCACCTAGAGTAGTTTTAGAAAGTTTAGTTTTGATTGGTTTATATGATTATCTTACCAAAGGGGCATATTCTTTTACGGTAGTTGTTGCACTAGGAAAGAGCCAGGCAAAGACAGTTTATGTGTTTGACTAAAGATAAAACATAAGCGCCAATTGTATGTCTTTGGAAGAAATGAAGGAGCACTGAGTTGATGACTAAATCAAAAAGCTCTGATGTAAAGGGACAGAAGAGGATGTATAAAACTAAGCTTTCAACTATACCAGTCAATACATGGACTGAAAAGCGAACTTCTTTCATGCCAAGAATAGTATAAATTGGAAATGACTGGTTTCACTCATAAAACCAAAAAAGGAAAAAGAAAAAAGAAAAAAGAAACAGTCAGTTAATCACGTGTCTGACCCAAATTCAGTTTTCAAATTGGAGGAAGGTATGCTGTGAATGCTTCATAATTTGTAGTGAATTTGTGTTTCAGATATTAGTGTTGCCCAAGACCTAGTTGTCTCAAAGGCTTAAAGTTATATCTGCACATTTTTGTGCAGTCGGAATCATTATAGTTCATATGCACATTTGATCATTTCTCTTATATTAAAGTGTACATATGACATAATATTGAGTAGTTTCTGTATGAACTCTGTGAGGATAAGTCGTAGCTCTTGCTTGTTGGAGCATTTGCTTTTAGCCTTTTATGATATATCAGACAGCCTAAACTCTGCTCTGGTACCCATGGCAATCTTCTTGTAAGTTCACCTCTTTCTTCATAACTCAAAACATGTAAAAGAGTTTGATGTTTTATTCTACTGGTATGAACATAAATTAAATGATCTAGAAACATTAATGAAACTGGCGCATCTCTTAAGGAGTTGTTAATATAGTAGTTGTTGTGTTATCTGCTTAGTTCAAAATGCTAATTTGAAGGAAAGTTTTCTTTGTAGGTCAATGGTTGCTAGAATTGTCACAAATTCCTGAAATCACAGAGGTTCCAAGCTTCAGTGAGAATGCTAAGTGTTATTTGGAGGATATTATTAGAAACTTTAGTAAAGATGATGCGTTGGAAGTGAAATTTTTTGAAAAAGCGACTGACCATTATGTTAAAGCAGTCGAGTACTTCTTGAAACAGAGATGTCAATCCAATACAGAGATTGCTGAGGTCAGGTTCTTGATATTCTTTGCTTTGAATAATTTTTATAGAGGTTATCATGTTTTCTCTGAAAGATTTCATCTAATACTTAGTATTTTGTAAAATATAGTTTCATCATTTTTTGTAATACTAAATCTAACTAAATCTTTCTTTTCTCAGGTACTGTAAATTTTCCATTTTGCATGTACATCAGAGGATATAAATAATTAGGCCCATGCTTTGGCACTAAAGGGAGCATTCAACACTGTCATATTCCTGGTCATGATTGAGTTGGTGAAAGCATATCCAACCTGGCAAAGGAAAATTCTCATATACCCTTGTCGTCTCGCACCCGTGGACAGGTATTTGATTAAATTTTAGATGAAAGAGTGGCTCTTCTCAGAATAAAACAACAATTTCGGCTGATTTGAGTGCTGATAGTAGAAAATCAACACAATATTTGTACGGGCATTTTCCACCTGTTCTTTGTGTTGACATACTTGCATATAATATATTATTGTAAAATGTCTGGAATTCGTATGACATCTAACAAATGATTGAGAAGTGTGTTATATTAGTCTAATTCCCATAGGTAAATATGTTTCATCTTTGCATGATATAACTAATTAAATATCACTTGAACAGTATAACATAGTACATACCACTCTTCGTCTAATTCATCTAACAAATCCTAAATTCTAGATTAAGCCTGTCCACAAGAATCAAATATCTCACACGTTGTAGTCTTGCTTTGGTGATACACTGATACTCATGGTCATATTATAATGTTCTTTTTCTTCATGATGATTGCTTCTCACAACGTGACTAGTTTGGCCAAGCGGCTTGGGTTGGTTTGTTAGATTTTGTAAGATAAAAGCGCTTGAATGAATCTATTGCTTGTCTAAAATTGTGATCTATAGAAACTTGGCTTGGACTATAACTTCTAGAACAGTGAAGGTTAAGTAGAGTAGTCAGACTTTAGTTTGGATTTAAGCCCCTTCTTTAGTAAGTCAATTATTTGTTATTTTAAGCGATAATGCTTCTCTTTGAGTGTTCCTTTTGACATTATAGAGATTTGTAAGGTGTAGCAAGTAATCCTGCAAAACGTTTATGTAAATTTGATCTTACCAAATGATTTCCATTGACCAATTTGCAGGAAAGAGGAAAAGCATAATATCTTTCAGTGTTCAGATTACAGTCTAATCAATGAAACAACTTCTATTATTGTCTGTAGATGTTTATTCTATTGGCCCCCAAAACTCAATCGACATTATTCTTCAGAATTATCTTTAAAATATGTATAAGGAGGAGTACAATAATGGCAGAGAATAGAAATATCTGATCATACTGAATGCTTCAAATACATATATATTTAAAGTGCATCAAATATTATGTGTTCATGATGTAAAATCATGTCAATATTACGTAATCTTGCATTAGCTAATAAAATAAGCGCCGAGTCATCCGTTCTCCCAACAGTTGGGTCCTATTCATCCAGTGTTCCTAACTTACTCAAACCGATACCCGATTTCTATCAACTACATGGATATTGAGTATATCCCAATAGCAAATGTTTTTCCTACCATATCAGCTTCAAAGAGTTGTGTATCTATATCTGCTTCTTTCTTTTTTGAATGCACAGCCATGTAGGCCCGTTATTGACTAAGTCAAATTGCAAACTGACAATGTAAATCAGATGTTGAGCGAAGATTTTTGGCTGTCTACCCATCCATGCTTGAGATATTACATATCTACTGGTTTAAGGAATCTATAAGGTCAAGTATCCTCGAATGACATGAGTTTGATGTTCTATTATTAAATCTACTATCCTCATTTCCTTCAACAACTAGCTGCCTCTCCTACTTGTTTTAAAAGAAACTAGAATAGCATATTAGTAAAAGCAAATATTAGCATGTATGCTTCCTCTAGGTTTACAACCACCACTATTTTCCTCCTGGTTAGCACCACTTATAGTCCAATTGTCACGCCCCGAAATTGGCAGCGAAAATTTATAAAATATGGAGTACGCGACAGCAGCGACCCGTGCACGGAACAAGTCTTATGCACGAGTCAAGCCTGGCAGTTCATATCACATAGTTTATTTTTAAAATATTCATAAACCTGCTGATGATAGAAATCAGAGCAACTATATATATATGATCGGTACTTACAACCCACAAGCTCACCGTTATAAGTATTTTTACAAAACAAAACAAAATGTGCTGAAGGTAACATCAACAAGAAGAGGCTCTCCATATAACGCCTCTTAGCCAAAAGCTCAAACCAAAAGTTCGGCTATTATGAAGCTACGCCGGATCTGAAAAAAATTAAAAACAACGGAATGAGCTAGCGCTCAGTGAGAACATTTCCCACTAGAGTTCCTAGATAACTAACAAAATAGTAATAAGAATAGTTCCCAGAAATTAACAAATTTCAAGTTTTGCATGAGAAATTTATAGATAGCAGAATACGATCCAAATATCTTAATAATGTCATTTTTAAGAAAAAATACAACAATTATATTTTCTTTCTCATGTGCAACTGAATAAACTGTGAAATTTCTTGGAATCAAACTCTTTTTGAATTAAGGTAAACAATTAAGAAGGAAAAGAACTACTAATTTGTATAAAATCAGAGAATTATTGTTTTCTTAATTTCACAGTCAATTATCAGAATCTTATTTCTCGATGAGTATTTCATGAATGTAAAAGTCACCCCATAGGTTAGGGCTGAGCACGGTTCGGTTCGGGTCGGTTTTTTCTAAATTTTGAACAACCGAACCGAACCACCCATTATTCAAAACCGAACCGAACCGTTGCACATCGGTTCGGTGCGGTTCGGTTCGGTTTGTTCGGTTCTAACTTCATGAAGGACCTCCATAATCAAATTACTACATCAATCCTCCTTCAGCAGATTTAAATCAGGTCAAGAAGATATTTAATCAACAAATTTGCAGAAAATCATCACTTAAAACCTTAAATCTAACAATATTCTATCAGATCTACAACAAATACCACGAAATATCCCAGGTTGGTTTGTGCATTTCACTTTCAGTCACAGAGAATCGTCGTCACGCTAACTGGGATCTAGTTGTTTTCAAATCCATGGAACCAAAAAGAACGATGAATTTTCAGACGAATGTATTCTACTCAGAATCAGCACGCCAAAAGAAAACAGAAAGGAAAAAAAAACAAAAGAAAGGTTAAAGCAGGTCATCGAACGAGTACCTTGAGTCTTCGAATGAGATCCGACCGGCGTCGAGTGAGAATCTCGGGCCCAGATCGCACGACCGCCGCCCGAAAGCGTCCACGACGATCTCGGACTGTGTCTCCTGGAACCTTCTAAAAGAGCCGGAGTCGTTCTTGTGGCTGCTACCTTCGTGCTTCTTCATCTTCTTCAGCTTCTGCTTCACTGTTTCTGTAGCTTCTTGCTGAAAACCGAAGCGGAGAAGTGGGCTGGAGGCTGGTGGCGGCGGGTGCTTGGACTTTGAATACTTGGAGAGAGTTAGGGTTTAGGTGTCTTGAGAGTTGAGAATGAGGGATTTTATGAGCAGATGAAGAACGGGTCGGGTAATGGGTATGGGTTACGGCTTAAAAAACTTAGTGTTAAGTTGGCGGTCGGTTAGGGTAGTTCGGTTTGAAAAATTTTCAAACCGACCCGAACCGATTTATAAATAAAACCGACCCGAACCGTTATTTTTCAGTCGGTTCGGTCGGTTTTTTCGGTTTGAACCGAACCATGCTCAGCCCTACCATAGGTTACACTAAGGCTACGAATTTTAGCCCAGTAGCAAGGGAATACGTAACCGCATCAGATAACAGATAATTCTCGGGAACCGAATGCACCTAACACTGCCATAGGCTACTGGTCAAATACAGAAGGGCCAGAACAGATTTCAGAAGGACCAATACAGAAGGGCCAAGGCCAATACAGAAGGGCCAAATAAATGTGCATTCACCATATGGCAGGCAGAACCAATCCATAGTGGACTATTTGAGGGTTTGAAAACATCGAGATCACATGTCAAATGAGAAATTCTTTGCATATCAGAATTTACAGATATTTTTAAATGAAGTTGGCAAGGTAAAACTTCACATTTCTGTTAAAACAGTTTATAGATATTTACTTTTTCTTTTATCAGATACTAAATCACGAAAAATCTTTGAATCCGTTAAACTGTTGAAATACGTTCCAAATATTTCATCAAAAACTTTCAGATATAACAAAGTCCACAGTTCTTTGAAAATTTCACGAGAGCCAAATTTAATTTTCATATTTTACCTAAAGATCAAATTAGCTTTTCATATATTATACGAGACTAACATCGTATTATAGGGTAGACCACAACAGAAATAGGTCAAATCTTTATATACATGAAAAGACATATTATTTATTTATTTATTTTTTTATCACAAGATAAATCAAATATAAACTCATGTAATTTTATATTATAAAATACTAGTGAGAAATGAACTCACCTCTAGTGGTCACGACTTTCTCAAAATATTAGTCTCCCGAATATCAACCAGAACCTATAATGTAAGATATATGACTAATTATTAATTCAGGACAAATATATATTATAGGTACATCAATTCATAATCTAGAGTCTACTAAATTCAGATATAATCAATAATGATTAAATTCTACAGTACATATGAGCATTTTGTTAACTTTAGCAATTTATTAAATTTTTATAACTCTCATATACTAGCTTTTGGTCTTCCTAGTAATTTATGATAAGATAGGGGTTGTAGGAAAATTATTAAGTCTAAAAGTTATTGTTTATTCCTCAGATTGGACTAGTTTACAACTGAACAAAAGATATGGGCTTGATAAATATTTTTCCAGTCCTTTTTCAACTATAACTTATTACTATAAGGTTTGTTTAAAAAAAAATTATGTTTCAGGGGCTAAAGGTAAATTTTCCTTTCCTTATCAAAACTCCAGATTCCTGATCATCTTCCTCTTCTTCGTTTCTTTTCGTTTCTTTTTTTTTCCTCCTCTCTCTTTTTTTTTCCGTTTTTTTTTTCTTTCGGTGATTTTTTTTCCTGGTTTCCTTCTCCTCTCCACTCTCTCTCTCTCTCTCTCTCTCTCCCTGTCTCGCCAAAGCCCCAAGGTTGCGGCAAGGGATCGTCGGTGGTTAGGGGTAGCCGGCGGTCAGACCTCGCCAAAACTAGGGTTAGTAATCTTTTCTCTCTTATTTACAAAAACAGTTAATCAAATCATCAATTTATCAGCTTATTACTATTCTATAACAGATTTACTTCTTCTAAATCAAGAAATTTTAGATTTAAACATGAGGATAGTGTTATACCTTAACTGATTTGAACTTGGGATGTTGATCACGTTCCTTCTTTTT